AGTTTAACTTAACTAACGACTACTTTACTTTCTTTACTTAACGTACTTACTTTAGTAGTAAGTAACAATTACTTAATAGTGTCGTTCTACTGTTTAGTTTGTCCTCCTCTCTCTCTCTCTCTCTCTCTCTCTCTCTCTCTAAAGTCTCTTAACCACATGTGACCCCCTTCCACCACCCCCCCAAGACTTTACCCCCACCCAAAAAAAATCAAAACTCTCTCCGCCAAAAGAACCCAAAGAAAAAGGCATGTAGTTACTACCAAAGATTTAGGGATACAGCTCAACCACCTCACTGAACAGACTCAGCTAAAGAGATTCTTTCCAGTAAATTAGCCCAAGCATGCTCTCTTTGGCCAAAACATACTGAATAACTGACCAAATATGAAAGGGCTTTGGGTCGCCTCAGTCAAGAGCTAAAGCCGTATGCTTTTGGCCTATTTAGCTGATGAGAAGCAAAATTTCAAAAACTATTCTCAATGGTCACATGCTGAACTAGGCCAATAAACATCATCATCATGAACCTCTGCCATTGTTCCATAATGCATGTGCTGGGCACCTTGGGTGCAAGGATGCTCCCACTTGAAGACTGATACCATAAAACAATCACAATTTTCTTTTGATCACCAAGGACCAAGAGATTGAGATGCAAAAAAACAATTTAGCTTGCAGTGTCAAACGTTATCCATACTGGGCACCCACCGGAAGGACAAGTTACCAATTGTAACCCATCTGATGTCATGTCACCACCACCACCACCACCACCACCACCACCACCACCACCATTATCATCATCATACAATAGACAATCACCACAGCCACCTTAAAGTGGCATAGTCTCCAAGATCATAATCATAGTCAACCTCAGATCAAGAATTTATTTACTTCACTCTCTTCTTCCTTCCAAATAACGGCCTTCCTCCCCTGGTGACAGCTCACTTCCATAGCCTCTTCAGAGTTTAATGTAGATTGGTCACTTCAAGCCCTTTGAAATGGATCGTAGTGCAGGCCCATCCAAATCAATGAACAGCCGTGAGGGAGGTAAAATCACCCAAAATGGTGTAGAAGAAGCCTGTAATCTCCTTTGGGATGATAAAAGTTGACTGCATGTGAAACTCCAAGAAGACCTTCCAAAAGGCCGTCATATCCTTATAAGCCATTTGGATCACATCCTCGATGGCTGAGGACATTTAGTAGGAGGTGCCCTGGTCATACCCAGCTTGTTGAGCAAACTGCCTGGGATACTAAGATTGAACATAATTTGTTGCCTCTATGTAAAGAGGAAGGGCAGAAGGCATGAATGGTGAAGAAAAATTCCAGCTCGCTCAATGGATAGGCTTATTTCCCCTGGGCTCCCTAACAAAAAATACAATGCCGCCTTTGTGTAACACGAAAACAAAAAAAAAACTGACGTACTAAAGTAGCAAAGTAATTCTTGATACGTGCTAAAAAATTGGATCAAGTGAGGGTAATCCAGATTAGGCAAATCCTAATTATCGGTAGTAAAGAAATACTCACTGAATTAGCCACACAAGGAACTTCGCATTGGCCTGAACTGGGACTTTCTCATGCCTTTTCACTTTTGAAAATCTGGACCTTTCTTATGCTGCTAAAGCAGTCACAATCTATTACAAGTGCCTCCCAGTACAAGGGGAGCTACACAGAGATTCAATCCAATCAAAAGTTTCCCGACCATTGAAAAGAAATCAGTGGGTATCACATCATGCTTCTATGAAGGTAATATGAATTGATATAGACATAATGCCAGGTAGATTGCATGCAAATATGAAGGTAATATGAATTGATATACAACAGCAAGTGTCAAAGCAGGGTCATTAATTTTGGTGGTACACACTAGCAGAGGGTACCACCTCTTACTGGGCAAGTCCAATGCTTGGCTTTGCTACACATCTGGAGAGCAACTGCTTTTCCACCATAGTTATTGCAAGCATCCAACATGGAGGAGATCCCGCTTCGGAATCATGATCCTGCAATTCGTATGAGGCATAGCTGGATCACGATCTCATGTGCGGAGAAACTAGCTCCCAAATCTTTTGGATCGGCACACCCATCTTTAGTACATTACTAGCATTCAACCCCGTGTGATGCACGAGCACACAAATGAGAAAGAAATATGGTTTAACTTATATGAAAGGAAAATACCTAGGAAAAAAAAAAAAGTTTTAGGAGGAAATTGTCAATTTACGAAAAAATAAATACTTAAGCTTCAATATATTTATTGCAAAATTAATTTGACTACAGATTTATTTTTAAAAAGATAAATATTTAAACTTCAAAAATATTAATTAAGATATTACTCATATCCAACCAATGTTGTTAAGACTGGACTAGAGGGCACCAATTAGGTTTGACTGGACTAGAGGCCAAATCGGTGAGAGCATCGATTAGGTTTGACCAGACCGAGTCACTAGTAAGACTGGTCAAATGAATAAAAACATAAGAACGAACAGGAAAATATAGGATAATTGAAAATAGAGAAAATTTTGGAAAAAACCAGAAACATCTCCTAAAC